TCACGCTTAGCCCTGGCTCTGCTTCCAGGCCAGCTTCCTGCCAAGGAACATCCTTGGGAGGCAGCAAACAGTGACTCAAAGTCTTGGGTTCCTGTCAATGAGAGACTCAGATGGAATTCTAGGTTCCTGGCTTCAACCTGAGCCTGCCTAGGCTGTTTTGGATATTCGGAGAGTGAACAAACACATGCAGAATCTCTCTCTCTTTGCCTTTTAAATGAAAAATATATATGTATTAAAGATTTATTCTTATTGAAAAGGCAGAAAGACAGTGAAGGAGAGACAGAAAGAGCTTTCAGCTGTTGGTTCACTCCCTAAGTGGCTGCAATAGCTGGAGCTGAGCCAATCCAAAGCCAGGAGCCAGAAGCTTCCTCTGGGTCTCCTATGCGGGCGCAGGGTCCCAAGGCTTTGGGCCGTCCTCGACTGCTTCCAAGGCAACAAGCAGGGAGCTGGATGGGAAGTGGATCAGCCAGGACACGAACTGGCACCTATATGGGATCCCAGCGCCTCCAAGGCGAGGCCTTTTGCCACTAGGCTATTGCATCGATCACTTAAATGAAATTAAAAAATAATCATAATACATGTTGGCAAGAATGTTGGGAAAATGGAACCATTTAACACTAGTGGTGAAAATGTAAGGTAATAGATTTGTTTTAGAAAAGTCTGACAGTGGGCCTGGCACGATAGCATAGCGGCTAAAGTTCTCACCTTAAACGCCCGGGATCCCATATTGGCACTGGTTCTAAATCTGGCAGCCCCACTTCCCATCCAGCTCCCAGCTTGTGGCCTGGGAAAGCAGTTGAGGATGGTCCAAAGACTTGGGACCATGCACCTGCGTGGGAGACCCAGAAGAGGCTCTTGGCTTTGGATTGGCTCAGCTCCAGCCGTTGCGGCCGCTTGGGGAGTGAATCGTCGGACAGAAAATCTTCCTCTGGGCCCGGCGCGGTGGCGCAAGTGGTTAAAGGTCCTCGCCTTGCACGCCCGGGGTCCCATATGGGCGCCAGTTCTAGTCCCGGCGGCTCCGCTTCCCTTCCAGCTCCCTGCCTGTGGCCCGGGAGGGCAGTCGAGGACGGCCCAAAGCTTTGGGACCCTGCGCCCGCGTGGGAGACCCGGAAGAGGCTCCTGGCTTCGGATCGGCAGAGTATCGGCCCGTTGCGCTCACTTGGGGAGTGAATCGTCGGACGGAAGATCTTCCTCTCTGTCTCTCCTCCTCTCTGTATATCCGCCTTTCCAATGAAAAAATAATAAAAATAAATCTTTAAAAAAAAAAAAAGAAAATCTTCCTCTGTCTCTCCTCCTCTCTATCTGCCTTTCCAAAAAAAAAAAAAAAAAAAGTCTGACAGTTCCTCCATCAGTTAAGCAGTTACGATCCCCTACAGACTCAGCAACTGCACTCCGTGTTCACACAACCTTCCGCACAGGAGTAGTCACAGCAGCATTAATCATATGGCCCAAAGTGAGGAGGACTCAGATGTCCACCAACTGATGGAGAAACGAGACACAATCAGAGAAAGGGATGACGTAGCACACCTACCGTAACACGCTGACCTTACACAAGACCACACTGCATCACTTCACTTACACCAAATGTCCAAAACAGGCAACTCCACACAGGAAGTAGATTAGTGCTTGTCTCAGGATAAGGAGAGGACCACGAGAGTTTCTTCAGGGCAAGAATTAAAAGTATTCTAAAACTGACTATGATGATGGCTGCAGGACTCTGTAAATAACCTAAAAAGTACTGAACTGCAGGTGTGAAGTGGGTGAATCATATGATATGTGAATTGCATCTCAATAAATCTGTTGTAAACAAAGAACATTATACATTGCTGAAACACAAAACAAATGTTCAGAAAACAGTACAAAATCCTATTTACTCACTTCAAGGATCCAAACTAGGGCAATGAAAACCCTGAGAGATTCTATTACTCAACATTCCAGGTACTGGGTCATACTGAAATATTCATGAAGAATTCTGTGTTTTAATACAAAAAAGGCACCTTACATTTACAATGATGTACATAACAAATATCAGGAAAACGTTTTTGTAACTCAAGGTTAGGAAGTCATCAAATGGAAAACAAGCCTAAGAGGTTTTACCACACACATAGGAAAGTAGCACTCAAATGTATTATTGCCCCACCCAAGAAATAATTAGTGCTCCACCTTTGAAAGAGGTCAAAGGTAAACCACCCAACTAATATGTTTCTAAAGTACTAGATTGTGGCAAACAAAATACTAAAAAGGACCGTTTGCCATTATATGGAACTGAATCTTCCACTCGCACCCTGCACATCTTAGCTGTGACAGTTGATCCTTTACCCCTTTAGACATTCCATTCTGAGGACATTACACTCTCCTTCCTGTGGCCGGAGGGGATCCCACAAGTGATAGATGCAGTAAACACAAAACTCGCTTTCAAAAAAAAAAACGCAACAATGTTTAAAAAAATATGCTATCGGGCCGGCGCGGTGGCGCAAGTGGTTAAAGGTCCTCGCCTTGCACCCCCGGGATCCCATATGGGCGCCGGTTCTAATCCCGGCAGCCCCGCTTCCCTTCCAGCTCCCTGCTTGTGGCCTGGGAAAGCAGTCGAGGACGGCCCAAAGCTTTGGAACCTGCACCCGCGTGGGAGACCCGGAAGAGGCTCCTGGCTTCGGATCGGCATAGTATCGGCCCGTTGCGCTCACTTGGGGAGTGAATCATCGGACGGAAGATCTTCCTCTCTGTCTCTCCTCTCTGTATATCCGCCTTTCCAATGAAAAAATAATAAAAATAAATCTTAAAAAAAAAAAAAAAAATATGCTATCTGCCAACTCCAAATCTAAACCTAAACAAAAACAGACACAAGCACTGAATAGCCCAATCTACAGGCAAAAGCACAAGCAATTACGAGAAACCCAACATCGTGTGCAGCGATGCTTCATTAGCAGGTGTCTATTAAAATCCATCAGGCTTTAATGCACCTCCCAGTGGTCATCAAAAACACACAAGCTGGACACGTGACTTTTCACATCAAGTCTCGCCTCAATCCTAACGGGTCAGCCATCACCAAGCACAGTACTCTGAGGCCTGCCATACAACCCCATTCTCAGATTGGGGTCACTCTGCTTTCCCTATTTACACACTCTCAGATCTGATGCTTATCAGAAAAGACTTCAAATCCAAAAAGCTCACTATGAAACAACCTCCACAGTGCAAAAGATTAGTTTCCTTTAAAGCAATCTTAAAAAAAAAAAAAAACAGAAATGAAGTGCAAAATAGATTTCTGCCCATTTCTTCAGCTTTATAAAGAATGCAAAGGATAAATTAATATGAAACAAATAGTTGCTGTGCTCACAACCCAACAGACCCACAAAGCCCCGGCTTCTGCTTCATCTCTGCCTATTCCAGCAGGCCTGGTGCGACTCTGCCACAATGAGATGCACCACTACGTGGAGTAAGAGTCGGATCAGCACCGTCTCAGAGTGTGAGCCCAGGCACGGAGGCTGCGGAAGACAGAAGACGGAAGACGGCCTGCCCTGGAATAACGACTTCTCAAACTATAACATATTCACCAGTCAGGACCAGTAACACGCATTGTGTTTTTTTTTTTAACCTCTCCAAAGACTGGGGGGGAAGGGGAGGAGGAAGAGGAACAACAACAACAACAAAAAAAGCCTTTGTATCCTTGCTGTCCTGAAGCGGTGAACAACTTGCAATTTGCTTCTCACTCGCAATCCCACACTGGCCGCGTGTAGAGCAAGCACTTCACACACCGCAAAACAAGGGCAGCCTACACGCAAGCCAAATATAGGATGCGATTCTAAACCACCATGCCCTCAAAGTCTTTCCTTTTCCAGGGATCCAAATCTCGAGCACTCCCAAAAAAGGACGGCCAGGGCCAGCACCTCCCTCCGCTCCCCACCTCCAAAAGGAAGCCCCTTTCTTTTTGGGTCTCCCCGCAGCCCTGGCCACTTGCCTCCCCTACCCCCTCCCTGACACGCTCTCCCCTCGGCCACACTGGGCTCCTAGGAGAGGTCAGGAGCCAGTGGTGTGCGCCGGTGGGGACAGGCGGGAGGGCTCGCGGCGTGGAAGGTCCACCACCCTCACCATCTGACTTCATGCTCAGGCATGTGGGCGCAGCCCAGCCCCACCTGCACCTCCGCTCCTTTTCAGTGCGCCCCTCGCCACCGGCGGCGGCTTCCCGCGGGGACTGGAGCACCTCGCTTTCAATCGCCCAGTTCTCCGGTGGAGGGGGGGGGACTCGGTTCGGCTTCTCCCCACCACGACCCCCTCCACCACCAGTCCCAGGCCTCCCGCTCCCTCTGCCCGAGCATGGCCACTTCCCCCGTCCCCCGAGCCGCCCCCACCCGCAGGACTCCAGCGAGCTAAGCCGGCCCCGCCCTGCCCGAATCCCCTCACCCCAAGACTTTCGGGGACCAAAGTCAGGTAAACCACCACTATATCTCTTCGCCCCCCACCCTGCTCCCAAGCCGGCCAGCCGGCAGCCCGTGCCCCTCCCAGGCAGGGCCCAGCTCGCCCCGGCCCCACGTGAGCCCTGCCCCAGCCCGGCCACCCCCACCCCCACGTTCCCTGGGGCGCTGCGCCTTAGCCTGGGGTGGGGGTGGGGAGACTGGCCCCTTCCCCAACCCAGCACAGCACCCCACCAGGCAGGTGGCGAGCCCCTGAACCCCTGAAAACAGCCGCGTCCCCGTCGCTCTCCTCTGGGCCCACGGCTCCGGACCCGAAAAAGCTCTTCCCTAGGCAGACCCCCTTTTCCCATGGGGACCTCACCCCAGGCCAACTGATTCTATCCCCAGCTTCCCCAAATCCCGAGCCTCGGGCAGCACCCTCCCCGCCGCCACAACCCCAAGGATCCGCGCGCGCCTCGCGCGCCCCCTCCACCCGGTCCTGCCCCTCGCCCCGCCGGCTCCTGTCAAGCCGGCGCCGGCACATGCTGAGAGGACAGGTCCGCCCGCCCCGGCTCGCTCCCGAGCCCGCCCCGCCGGGCGCGCGCCGCTCACCAGGGCCGAGGTTGCCTGAGGCGCCGCCGCCGCCGAAGTCCCCGCTGCAAAGCCCGGCGAAGCCTCCAACCGCTGCCGCCTCCCGCCTGGCACTGAGCGCCTCGCGGGGGAGGGGCGCGGGCAGCCGCCGCCGCCACCGCCGCCGCCCCGGCCGCCTGGCTCGAGCCCCGCCTCCCGCGCCGCGCCGCGGCCAATCAGAGCCCGTCGAGCTGCTACGCGATACGCCCACTTCCGGAGGGAGAGCCTGCTGCCCCGCCCTCGGCTCCACGCCTCCGCCTCGCGGGCGCTCCCTCTGGTCGCGTCGAGGGGTGCAGGCGGGGCCGCCAGAGGGAGGCGGGACTGCAGCGCACGCCCCCGCGCTCCGAGTGGCTGGAGCGCCACGCCCACAGGCCGCCGAGCCACGCCCACTGCTCCTTAGAATCCGCAGCGGGGATTCTTAGAGCTCCGGCCGCCGAGGCGCCGGACTCGGCCAGGCCTCTTGGCTTTTCAGAAACCGTCCTGGAAACCCTTAAAACCGGGACCACCGCGCCTCAGAGCCTCGCCCGCTGCCCACTAAAGCCCTGAGAGCCGCGCCCCGGCTTCCCCCCTCAGCCGGGCTCCCCTCAGTCGAACTGTGCTTTCCACCGCTTCAGAACGACCCGCGCGCCTCCTGACTTCCAGAAACCCCGCCCGCTGTCCGTCGACCTGCCGGACCGACGGAGCCACACCCCAAATTCGCGAATCCCCGCCCCTGGTCTCCGAAGCTCCGCCCCCCACCCCGACCCCGCCTGCGGCTGGGCGACTGCGGGCGGACCCGCCTTCAACCCCCTCCCGCGTCCCGTCCATTGTCACCCTGCCCGAGGCTCGACGGCGGCTGCCCCCGGGATGGACCACGCCCGCGTGGCCTCACAATTAGCCCTGAGCGAGCCTGGGAATGGCCATTTCGCAGATGAGGAAATGGAGCCTCTGAATGACCGACCCCTGCACCTCTCTGGGTGTGGATTCTTGGGCCTTGGAGAGGGTGGGGGAAGTTGTTCCGATAGGAAGGCAGACTCCCTTTGTGAGATTCCAGGTTCATAGCCGTACCCTCCCAGGGTGGGAAGAACTGTTGATGGTGAGATATGGCTGATGACAAACCCCCTAGGAGTGGCACCTGGGTCTGGGACTGCTCGGACCCCACGGAATGAAATGATGCATTGTTTCATGTAGCCCTGGCCGGAGGAACTCATCATTCGGTTCGTTTCGGTTCAATGACGCCAGGATTGGTGGAGTGCGCGGTGGGGTGTACCCCCAACCCATCCCCAGCATACGGTGATGCTGGAGGTAGTTCATTCAAGCTTTCATTAAATGAGACCGCTCATCTGAGTTGTCTGAAGAAAATCAAGATTAAAGTAGGGCATGGAGGTGGAACTGGGGCCACCAAGGAAGCTGATGGCTTACAATCTGGGCACTAGCTTGTGTGTCATCCAAAGGCTGGTGTATCACAGTGGGGCTTAATTCCCCAGAGTCTTGTGTTTTTCTTTCTTGTTTTTCTTTATTTGAAAACTGGGAGCCAGAGAGATCATCCATCCACATATAGGGCTTGGGTTGGCAGCTCATCCCTCCATCGGGGTGCCCCTTGGGGGTCCCTGAACGACAATGTCACCTGCTGTCTTCCAGAGTGCACTGGCAGGAAGTGGTATGGAAGGCAGAGCTGCACTTGAACCCCGAGCATTCTGAGATGAGCTGCAACAGTGTCTAGAGCTGTACCACAGGCCTGCCCTGCCACAGCCTCCTGCACGAGTGATTGATGGATGAATGGCAGCGGCAAGTGCACTGAGAGTGGAGATGAGATCTGATGATGGCATCTAGTGGGAGACTTTTAGGTCCCTGGAGTAGTTCTCCCAGTAGGGCTGGCTACGCAGGCCTGGGTCAGGCCCAGCCTCTCTCTGTCTGCTTCTGGGCTGGCCACGTGATCCTGTCTCTCCAGGCACTCTGTCATCCATCATCTTCATCAGATATTGTGAACTTCCAAACAAACCTTCCTCCCCAAGTAGGTGTTTGAAATAACAAAGGGCTGGCTGGCTGTTGCAATGGCTCAACTGGTTAATCCTCCATCTCCAAGTGCTGAGATCCCATATAGGTGCCAGTTCGTGTCCTGGCTGTTCCACTCCCCGTCCAGTTCCCTACTTGTGACCTGGGTAAGCTGCAGAGGATGGCCCAAAGCCTTGGGACCCTGCACCCACGTGGGAAACCTGGAAGAAGCTCCAGGCCCCTAGCTTTGGATTGGCTCAGCTCTGGCTGTTGCGGCCACTTGGGGAGTGAACCAAGGTATGGAAGATCTTTCTGTCTCTCCTTCTTCTCTCTATAGAATTAATAAATCTTTTAAAAAGAATAAGATAAAATACTAAAGTAACAAAAAGCCACATAATATACCACCTTACTCCTTGAAAACATGTGATGCGTACCTTTGTCTGAAGCTTCTATAGGGTCTGTATGCACAGAATCACCTGCAGTGTCCTAGGAAGAATTTCCATCTCCCAACTCTGAAGGCTTGGGGAAGTTCAGTTTCCCCTGTAAGGAGCCTGGTGGGCGCCACAGCCATCTCATGGCGGAGCTTGCTCCGTTCGCGGATGAGTCACCGTGTTTACCACTGCAGCAGCACCGCAGAATGAGAACCTGTGGACTTTGGATTCTAACAGACAGAAGTTAAACTCACGCTGTACCACAGCCTCCCTCTAGGACCCTGGTGAGTCATTCTTGCTCTCTGAGTCCGACTTGCCTTGTCTGTCCAGTGGGAGAAATAAATAAATGCGCCTTTCAGGTGGTGGTTTTGAAGTCAGGAGATCTGATTCAATGAACCAATGCAAAGTTCTACCCTGCTCGCCCCCCCCCCACCTCCCCACCAGTGTTCAGTACACAGTAGGTGCTCAAAATATACTGGCTCCTTTTCTTCTTCTGGCTTTTTGTTTTATCAACATTCTTGCTATCATGATGATATGATTATTATTATTTGAAAAGCAGACTTTACAGAGAGAAGGAGAGAGAGCGAGCTCTTCCATTGACTAATTCACTCCCCAGGTAGCCCCAACAGCCAGAACTGAGATGATCCAAAGCTGGGAGCCAGCAGCCTCTTGCCAGTCTCTTGCACTTGGGGCCATCCTCCACTGCTTTCCCAGACCAGAGAGTTGGATTGGAAGTAGAGCAGCTAGGACTCAGACCAGTGCCCATGTGGGATGATTTTGCTACAAGTGGAGGATTAGCCTGCTATACTACTGCATTAGCCCCCTGTTGTTATTATTAATTATTATTTGAGAGAGAGAGAGATACCTACAGTGAGAACCCTGTTGGCTTATTCCCCAAATGCCTGCAACAGCCAGGATAAGCCAGACTGACCAAAGCCAAGAGTTAGAAACTCCATCTCGGTCTCCCACATGGGTGGCGGGTCCCAGCCCCTTGAGCTAATCCCATGCCTGCTGCTTCCCGGCATCTACATTAGCAGGAAGCTGGGACAGCAAGCAGAACCAGGACTTGAATCCAGGCCTTCTGACATGAGACTCGGGCATCTCAACCAGCGTCTGTCTGAAATCACTGAGTCAGACACCTGCCCCTCTTTCTTAAAGTAATGAAATTGGAAATGCAATTTCCCATGAGACTAATTCCCCACCATCACACCCGCGCACAGCACCGTGGGATATACTGAGAAGAAAAGATCGCAGGCCTTCTCCTTCCAGCTGTGCCCGTCTGGGTTCCCACTTTTATTCCTGGGTGGTTGGAAGTGGCCCCTGCCAAGGAAACATTGAAAGCTTCAAGAAACAATACACCAGCTGCCTACCTCATTCCATACCTGCCCCCAAACACGCAGTCAGCTGGGAGCCACCATACCCACAAACAGCCAGAACATTGCGTGATCCTTTGCTGAGAAACAACAACAACAAAAAAATCTTTTCCCTACAACAGCCCCTCTGGGGGCCCGAAGGAAACCTTGGCTGTGTGTATGCTTGGCGCTGGAGGGAGGGATGTGGACCCAGCTAAGATGCTGCATTTGAGGATCTTTTCTGCCACTCAAATGTTGGTCATTTCTGAGGTAGCTGAGGACAGATGTTAAATAGAGGGATTCAGTGATCAGGAAAGACAACTTGGGCTTCTCAGCCCCACGGGGCAGGCACCTGCTCGTGTATGAAGGAGAAAGAGTCCTGGAGCCTGCCCGCAGAAGCTCCTCAGCAGATAATTGCTCTGGTTGCTCTCAGTACCAAATAGAGACATTAGTCTTGGGGGTTGCCAGGACAACCTGGTAGTGGATGAATTAGCCCCATGGAAGCATTAATAAATAACAATCATCTGGTGTAGATTCGGGCAGAAAGCCCCTGGGCTAATCTCAATAAGCAAGACCCCCTAATTTGAGTGATAGAAGAGGTCAAAGCCTGGAGAAAATATTAAAATTCACCCATTGGGGCCCGGCATGGTAGCCTAGTGGCTAAAGTCCTTGCCTTGTAGGCGCTGGGATCCCACATACCTGCCAATTTGGGCCCGGACGCCCTGCTTCCCATCCAACACCTCCCTGCCTGTGGCCTGGGAAAGCAGTCAAGAATGGCCCAAAGCCTTGGGACCCTGCACCTGCTCGTGGGAGACCCGGAAGAGGCTCTGGGTTCCTGGCTTCGGATTGGCGCAGCTCTGGTACAGCCACTTGGAGAGTGATTCAACAGATGGAAGATCTTCCTTTGTGCCTCTCCTCCTCTCTGTGTATCTGCCTTTCCAATATAAATAAATAAATCGTTAAGAATAAATAAAATTTCTCCTGGGGGGTGGCGGGGACTGGGTTAGGGTTCATATGGTTCCTAGTTAACATACTAGCATCCCACACTAGAATGCCGAGGTTGGTTCAGTTCCCATCTCTGCCTCTGGACCCAAGTTTCCTGCTAATGACACAGTGAGAGGCAGCAGCAGTGAGAGCTCCAGTAGCTACTTCCCCAGTACTCACTGCAAGACCTGGACCAAGTTTCTGGCTCTAAGCTCTGTCACCTAACCCCCAATGTTTAGCAATTACAGGAAGTTTGGGGAGTGAACCAGTAGCTTCAATCTCTCCCTCCTCCTCTCTCTCTCCAATAAAAAACTTAATTTGGAAATAAATTTGGATTTTCTCTACTT